ACCGCGAGATCATGACCTAAGCGAAAGTCAGACGCTTAACCGACTAAGCCACCCAGGCGCCCCTAGACTTCCTTGATTCTTTAGCTAAAGAAGACACAGATCTACAAGAACCATTAACAGTGTTTCTGGTTGTTTCACCATGCTACGTTTACAAAACTCATACTGTAATACAGGTTGCTCAACAGCATTAAATGAATGGCAATTCTTGCCTGTATTCTTTCTGTGAGGATGGAAAGCAAAAGGTATGCTTTAATTTAATTTTAATTTTTAATTGTTAAAAATTTTTATGTATTCTGAGAAAGAGAGAGAGAGTGCATGGTGAAGGGTGGGAAGAGGCAGAGAAAATCCCAAGTAGACTCCATGTTCAGCATGGAGCCAGCGCAGGGCTTGATCTCACAACCATGAGATCACGACCGTGAACCAAAATCAAGAGCCGGAAGCTTAACCGAGCCACCTAGGCACCCTGCTACACTTTTATTTTTGAAACGCATTGTTGCCTTATGTCTTTGTTGGATTTATATTGAAGCATAATTTATGTGCATTCAAATCCACCAATTTTAAGTATATAGTTTGATAAGCTTGGACAAATGTATATAGTTGTGTCACCACCACCATGGTCATCTCTGTACAAGTTCCCCTGGGCCCCTAGCATCCGGTTCCCCCTCCGCAACCACTGGTCAGTTTTCTGTCACTGTAGATCAGGTTGTGTTTTCTAGAATTTGATATAAATAGAATCATACAGTGTGCACTTTGGTTTTTGGTATGACTTCTTGACTTGGCATGGTTACTTGAGATTCATTTCTGTTGTTGTTTTTATTCTCTTTTATTGCTGACCCATATTCCATTGTATGGTTATATCATAGTGAATCCATTCTCCTATTGAATTGGGTGGTTTCCAGTTTTTGGCTGTTATGAATATAGTTATGAACATTTGTATATATGTCTTTGTATAGACATATGTTTTCTTTTTTCTTAATGTCACACAACCTTGTTTACTGTAGCTTTAAACCAAGTCTTGAAAGTAGGTTCTCTTTCTCAAGTGTCTTGGCTGTTCTAGATTGTTTGCATTTTTGTATAAAGTTTAGAATCAGTTTGGCAAATTCTGTAAACATACCTACCCAGATTTTGATCGGCATTACATTGAGAATGTAAATCAGCTTCTATAGAAGAAGATATCTTAGCAATATTGAATCTTCTGATCCATGTATCTTCCATTTATGTAGCTCTTTAATTTAAGCGATATTTTCTAATTTTCAGTGTGCAAGTCTTGTGCATGCTTACAGCAATTAGGGCTTGTTTCAAACTGTGAGAATATGTAAGTCCTCATTTTATGTAGCTAACATTTGTTGAGTATTAATAGCGAACAGTTACATAGTGCTTACTATGAGTCAAGCACTTAAGATAAATTAACACATTTTCCACAACAGCCCAATGAGTAGGTGCTATTATTACTCTCATGTTATCAATGAGGAAATTGGGGCACAGAGAGGTTAAGTAACTTGCCCAGGGTCACATGACTAGTCAGTGGCAGAGTCTAGGTTTGAGCCCAGTAGACTGGCCTGAGTCACAGTGCTTTTATTCCAGTGCTGTGCTGTTGATTACCTGTGTCATAAAACACATTTCATTAGAAACTGTGGGTATATATATGGGGGCACATAGTTTGGCAAAAGTGATGGGTGCACAGTGAATACAGTGACTGTGATAATGTGAGCAAGGGGGAGTAGGGAATGAATGGAAGAAGTACTTAGCTTGATATGAGTATGAAAATTGCCATTTCCGTGGCTTCAAGTTGAAACACTAGT